TCCACAAGAATCTCGCAGCCTTGAGGACCGAATTAAAGGTGGCGGTATGTGGGGTAGCTTACATTCCAAGAAGGTTTTGGTAGTTCTGAAGGTCACCTGCTCCTGTGTTAGCATAACGCCCCTAAACCCTACTAAACCCTAAACTCCAAACTCCAAAACCCTAAACCCTGAACCGCTTTATAGGCATTCCAATCATGCTTGGCAGGCGTGCAGATAGTGCCATTGCTGGTGAGGCCCTGGGAACCACTTCCGGGCCCGCGCACCAGCCCACCGGAAAGATCGGAAAACTCTTAGGGTTTAGGGTTTAGGTTTTAGGGTTTAGGGTTTAGGGTTTAGGGTTTAGGGTTGGGGGTTCAGGGTTTAGGGTTAGGGTTTAGGGTTTGGGGGGGGAGGAGGGGGGGTGGGAGCCGAACTTAGAGAGTTCCGCGCTGAAGCTCCTCTGCTAATGTTGACGCATAAGCAAGACTCGGACCTTACAGCCCTTCCAGGAAAAGTCCTCCTTTAGGGTTTAGGGTTATAGATAGAGCTTATAACGGGGGGAGCCGAGGGCCTAGCACAGGGTCAGGGACTCCTGCATTTGGAACTTAGAGCTCTGGGCTTTAGCCGTTTGACGGTTTAGAGTTACTAAGTTACCAGTTAATAATGATATGATGGCTTAAGACGCCCCTGAAGCAGAGCGTCAAACGAGCCTCGAAACCCTAAACTCTAAACCCTGAACCCTAAACCCTAAACCCTAAACCACGTTCGACAACCCGCGCTTTCGTTGGCCCGAGCAAGCCGAAGCATACGCCGCTGCACAGGCCAGGCCGAGCCAACCCTAAACCCTAAGAACCCTACGAACCTTAAGAACCCTAAGAACCCCCGAAGGACCTTAAGACCCTAAGAACCCAAAGAAATGTAAGAGCCCTAAGAGCCTGAGGCCTACAATCCTAAGCTTCTCAGACCCAACCTCAGGCCCTAAACACCTCTAACCCCCTAAGACCTGAAGATCCCACACCCTAGTTGGGGTTTAGGGTTTAGGGTTTAGGATTTAGGGTTTAGGGTTACGTGCTGGTTTAGGGCTTGGGGCTCAAGGTTCAAGGACTCCGAGGGGCTCACTTGCCCGGCATGAGTTCGAAGACCGGCGGCGGCGAGCCTGCCGGGTCCTCCGGGCGGCCGGGGACCCCTGCGCAGGGGGGGGGGGGGGTTCATTAGGGTTTACTGCACAACGATGGTGAGTTTATTCCTAAACCCTAACCCTAAACCCTAAACCCTAAACCCTAAACCCTAAACCCTAAACCCTAAACCCTTCTTTGCCTCGGCTCCTGCTCTGGTTGAAGTCGTATATCTGCACCCTTTTACGTCGCAGAAGTCGGCCAGGAGGCTCTGAAGACTTTAGCTTAGCCGCCCGCCCAGAGGTTTGGGGTTTAGGGTTTAGGGTTTAGGGTTTCGGGTTTAGGGTTTAGGGTTTCGGGTTTCGGGTTTAGGCTTGAGGGCTTCTGCCTCTCATCAAGAATATGTCTGAGCTTCGACGGAACATGCATACCAGAAATTGCCACTGCAATACACTACGACATACTGCAACATACCAGAGTTCACCACAAGATAGGATTCATAATAGGCCAGAGTACTACCCAGACTCCCAAGAAGAGCTAGTAGTCGTGTAGGGTACGATTTTGGGGGGCTCTACTTGTTGGTTCCTCCCAGAGATCTGGGTATACCACAACAAAAATCTAATTATTCAGGCCCCTATACTAAGATGACAGTATAGGAGTATTCCCTTGTGGTCCCTTTATAGTTTTACAAGAATAACCCCCAAAAACCCCTGTCTATTCAGGCCCCTCTAGCAGGATGACTTCAATGGGCCGAGCTTTGAGGGTTTAGGGTTTGGAGTTTAGGGTTTAGGGTTTAGGGCTTAGGGTTTAGGGTTTAGGGTTTAGGGTTTAGGGTTTAGGGTTTAGGGTTTAGGGTTTGGAGTTTAGGGTTTAGGGCTTAGGGTAACTGTGACCCTAAGCCCGAACCCTAAACCCTGATCCCTGAACTTCGGGTGGAACACTCTATCACCTCTCTCTCTCTCGCGCTTACCCCTGTTGGTCAAAGAATCGGGGCCGGGAACCCTAAACCCTAAACTTTAAACCCTAAAACCCTAAACCCTAAACCCTACTGCATGCTGTGCTTAGACCCTAAACCAAGACCTTAAACCCTGGATGAACTCCCAGCACCCTAAGCCCTTAGCCAACCCACGAAGCACACAAACAGACCTGGCAAAACCAGCAGAGAAAACTCCTAATTTTTGGTAGGGAAATGAGGGCATGAGGGCCCCATATACCCTGTAAGGGGAGTATATAGGGCCCTCATTCCCTCATTCCCTATGAAGAACCAGCCAGAAAAAGAGCCCACAATGCCCAGTCAAGCGGCTTTGAGTTTAGAGTCGAGGGTTTCGATTGTGAATTTCCTAACTCATGAAACTGCAACACCGTGTAGGGTTTAGGGTCGAAGGTTTAGGTTTAGGGTTTAGGGCATCAGGTTTAGCCCTAACCTGAGGCAGCCATTGTCCCTGTTTGTAAGCCTGAGACAGGGGCCCCGAAGCCCCAGAGCCTTTATCCCTAAACCCTAAACCCTAAACCCTAAACCCTAAACCCTAAACCCTAAACCCTAAACCCTAAACCCTAAACCCTAAACCCCTAAACCCCTAAACCCCTAAACCCCTAAACCCTAAACCCTAAACCCTAAACCTCCCCCTAACCCCGTATAGATAGCCCTGGAGATGCCAAAAGGAAACCACGGGTGGGCCTCAACACCTCCGCGGGCGCCTTAGGAGTACTTTGGGATTCAGGGTGTCGGGTATGTTTAGGGTTTAGGGTTTAGGGTTTAGGGTTTAGGGTTTAGGGTTTAGGGTTTAGGGTTTAGGGTTCGGGTTTAGGGTCTATAGAAGTTGTATAGGGTTCAGGTCCCAATAACGTTTTCGGCGAAACGTTTTGAGCGAAGCGTTTTGAACGAAACGTTTCTGCTTTAGAGCCTAATTTATTGGTTTTGGGCCTCGCGGCCCTGGCTGGCCGCCTGGGACTCTACGGGTGGGAAAGCACTAGAGGTTTCAGCAAATTGAGCATTTGGCCTCGAAGGCGCTGTGGATGAATGTACTTAAACTCTGCTTGTCAGCTGTTTAGACAAATAACCGGGGACAATTCACAATGATACCACATACAATTTTCGTCTTTTGTCTTGAGGATTTAGGGTTTAGGGGTTTAGGGTTTCGGGTTTCGGGTTGAGGGTTTAGGGGTTTGGGGTTTAGGGGTTTAGGGTCTAGGGTTTAGGGTCATCTGGGCCACTGAGTCTTATGTTCGAACACCAGAGGTTTTGGGCTTATGGTTGAGGGTGCTAAGGAGCGCGTTGTTTATGTAGAGTTCCGGCTTAGCAACATGAGGCTTGTTTTCTGGGTGGTGGTCTGGTTCGGTTTTGAGGTCGGGAGGATGATGGTCCAGGTGGTATCTTGGCCAGTTGCTGTAGACATTGTACTGGCTTTCACTTATTTCTACCATGATTCTGTAGCCCTACACCCTAAACCCTAAACCCTAAACCCTAAACCTTCAACCCTCAACCCTCAACCCTCAACCCTAAACCCTGTTTAGGGTTTAGGGTTTAGGTTTTTGGGTTTAGGGTTTAGGGTTTAGGGGGGGGGGGGGGGGTTCCTAGTAGACTCTTTGATCCTACTAGCTGTGAAGGTGAGGAGTTTAGGGTTTTGGGCGGTTTTAGGTGGACTGCAGGCTTGTTGCCACTGGAGATGTCTTGGAAGACCCTAAGCCCTAAACCCTAAACCCTAAACCCTAAACCCTACACCCCATTGGAGACCCTAAGGAGAGGTCATGCGCGACCGCCCTCCCAGGAAGCCCTGAACCCGAAAACGAGCGCCGCAGCTTTGGCCAGAGTTTAGGGTTCAGACTTTGGGGGTTTACGAAGATAGGGGGCCCCTAATATAGATCCCCAAATAGTAGGATTGCCTTATAATCAGGTATCCAATCACAAACCCCCATTTGATCCGGATCGGGATCTGATAGGGTGTTTTCGCGCACCTTGGGCTTCAGGCAGGTGTGGGAAAGGGTGTAGGAGGTACGAAGGTTGATGTCCTGAACCTGACTAACTGTTTAACTAAGTTTGCAAGCGACTTGTCTGATCTGCAGACAATGTCGCAAAGTTCCGACGACGAGGTGGTTGGCAACCGTGCCTGGATTGACGCGTGCAAGAGCCGTGGACACTTGCAGTTTTGGCTCATCAACCTACTCATGACAATCCCCATCTGCTTCAGGCTGGCATTCTTCTCTGGTGAGATAAGCTACAAACCCGGGCGCTTGGTGGGTTTCGACGACATCCTAACTGTTGGACACCTTTTGCAAGGTTGCTTCTGTGCTGGCTGCCTGTTCCTTTCGCATCGCTTCGACGCGGGCAGCCTGTGCGGAGGGCGCTTTCCGCGCTTCAAGACTTGCGTGCTGGTGTGCTACACTGTGAGTGCCCTGGTCTACCCGGTGTACAACTTGAACAAACGACTCATCACCAGCATGCCCTTCTTCGCGGACTCCAGCTACTTCTCCAACCAGGCCGACTTTCTGCTTGGTTTGCTCATCGGCTACTTGCTGGTCTCTGCCTTCGCGCTCTTTGCCCACTTCTACCATCGGAATCTTACTTGCTTCAGGATTGATGGGCTAGCTTGTCAAAGATGAAACGACCCAAATGATGCTAAGCCGTCTTGGGTCCAACTCAAGCCTTCTAAGCTCGACAGGCCAACCAAGCCCCAAGCAAGCACCATAAACCCAAACAACCATTGCCCCCACTCTAAACCCTCAACCCTGAGATAACCCTATGAAACCTGTAGCCGCTTAAGAATTCTAAACCATCCGAGAGAGACTTAGGCGGTATTCGTGCAGACACCCCTGCGGACTGAGGCGTATGGGGTTTTGGGGTGGCTGCAAGCCCCTCTAAAGCCCGAAAACATAAACCCTAAACCCTATTGGTGCATAATTAAAGTTTTGGGCCTGCCAGCCAAAATTAGTGTTGACGCCTTGCCACCTTTTTTTTTTTTAGCGTTTCAGGTTTGTCACCCAATATGACCACTAAGGGTCTTGTTGGGTTTGGTGCATTGGGCTCAGTCTTTGGCTTATGACCTTTTCAGCTTCGTTGCTTGCCACCCAACCTGACCGTTTAGGGTTAGGGCTTGCCATGTCTGAGTACACTTTACACTTCATGGGATACTCGAATCCCCTATAGAACTGAAAGTGTACACTATTTTGGGGGCTTATGAACCCTAAACCCTAAACCCTAAACCCTAAACCCTGAACTCAGCAACTAAGGAACCATCACAGCTGGTGTTCGCCTTCCCTGGACATCGAGCTCCGACACTGGGCTGAGCACCCGTTCATGCTGGTACACGAGCCTGGGTCACTGTTGAGAATCGATTTTACATTCTTATGAGTACTTTTAAACCCAATGAAGGAACAAGAATGACCATTCTTACGAAAAAGTACCCCTAAACCCTGAACACTAAACCCTAAACCCCAAACCCCAAACCCCAAACCCTAAACCCTAAACCCTAAACCCAACAACGGTGCAGGTGCGCTTCGAGGATGTCAACTGGTGTCTCATTGCCTTTCACTGCGTGGAGGGTGTCATCGTCCTGGCACTCTTTTTCATCACTCTGAATGAAGAACATCCTTGATTGTCGAGATGTTCAATCCCTAGCCGAGATGTGAACAAGAGATGGTGTGCTCTACTATGTGCTTCACCCATGCATTTATAAGACCATCGTCCTTTCCATGTGTGAAGAACTACAGCCTAAGGTATGTCGAGTTGCAAGGCTTCATTTGCGGCCCTTGCCATGCTCAACTTAGTGCTTTGAGGGCTTCTTGAGGCCTTAAGCGGTCAATGGAACCATGAACGTGAGCCCTAAACCCTAAACCCTAAACCCTAAACCCTAAACCCTAAACCCTAAACCCTAAACCCTAAACCCTAAACCCCCAACTCTACACTCCCGCCATATCAAGCCCGAAACTTCGTGGCCGGGCAGGCGGAAGGCAGGGCACTGCTTTCGATTTGCTGCCAAAGCCATCAAAGATCTTGATACCCTAAACGCCAGCTCAATGTACTTCAACTTGCAGTACGGCCTTGCATGGTTTAGGGTTTAGGGTTTAGGGTTCAGGGTTTAGGTTCTAGGTTTTAGGGTTCAGGGTTTAGGTTTTAGGGGTTAGGGTTCAGGGTTTAGGGTTTAGGGTTTAGGCTTGCGCATGGGCTGTTTAGAGGAACTCCGAGTCGCTTCAACGGAGGCTTGGTCGGCTGTTGGATACAAATTCTTTTTGTTTCGGGCAGAAGCAACATGCAATTTATCCATGTCTTGGTGGGCTTAGGGACACAGAGCCCTAAACCCTAAACCCTAAACCCTAAGCCCTAAACCCTAAACCCTAACCCTAAACCCCAAACCCCAAACCCTAAACCCTAAACCCCAAACCATACAGCCATTTCCCTTGCCAGTCAAAGGCCCTTGGCTCTATTTTGTCGTCGAACCGACGGACGAATGCCCGCATGGCAGCTTCCTGAGCTTTGGGCTTCAGGGTTGGGGTTTAGGGTTTAGGGTTTAGGGTTTAGGGTTTAGGGTTTAGGGTTTAGGGTTTAGGGTTTAGGGTTTAGGGTTTTGGTGAAAAATTGAAGACGGCTCAGGGGAAACCCTACTTGGTGGCCCAGTTGTATTTTGTTTTTCCTTTTTGGGGGGTTCAAGGTTCCCTTGTAAAGTATCCAACCCAAAAAAAGGGATTAGGGTTTAGGGTTTAGGGTTTAGGGTTTAGGGTTTAAGGTTCCTTTGATATGGTTTCTGAGCGACCAAGCCGAAAACTTGCACCCTAAAGGGCGAGGTCTCCCAGGCCCCCTGTCTGACGGTGTCCGCGGGTGACACAACCTCCTCCAGCAAGAAGGCTCCCTTGGTAAGCCCTAAAGTCCTGAAACCCTAAACCCTAAACCCTAAACCCCAAACCCTAAACTAAACCCTAAACCCTAAACCCTGATTCTTAGCCTCAGCTTCCGATTCCAAAGCTGTCAAACACCCAAGCCCCTAAGCCCCCCCAACATGCTCTTCTTTCTAGCCCAGTGGGTTTAGGGTTTTGGGTGGTGCCCTTTACCGTTTGTGTTTTTGGAGGTTCTTGAACCCCAAAAAGGGTGCCCCTTGTTATGAAATGGTTCCTGGGCTTGCAAGACTCAAAGCCCAAACCCGTAAACCAAGCACCGGAAAGCAGTCGAAGATTTGATTCTACGTATAAGGATTAGGGTATTACAGGCGCAGTCGACTGGCATGACAGAGGGCCTATGTGGTATTCACTGGGTTCTGGAGTGCTCTTCTTTGTAATTTTGTTTTTGGTTCTGGGTTCCGACTATTGCTAGTTATACCTAAAAAGTATACACTTTTCCCGGGGTCTACTCCAAAGTAGGGTTCAGGTTTCGGGAGCTTGTAGACCCGAGCCTATGGCGAAGGGGAGATAAGCCTACCCTCGAAAATGGCAGTTTAGGGTTTCGGCTGTCGGGTCGCACCTCAGCTAGAATGAGAGTATCTGAGCGACTCCACGCGCACAAGGAACTCCATGTTTCCTTTCGTTCTTCAGTTCTGTCAACTTACGCTGCTACTGGCGACCTTGACTATGACTGCGACCAGGAAGGCTCAGAGGGTTTAGGGTTTAGGGTTTAGAGCATAGGGCACCATGAACTGGTTGAGGCCTCAAACCTTGGGACAGGATGTAGATGTTGAAGCTTTGTGCGATGCCCTGGCTTCTTTGAAGCCTGCTCAACTCCCAGAATTTAGGCGTGCATGAAAGACATCCGCACGATGAGATGGTAAGCAAACCCAAACCCGCAAAGGCCGAAGCGGTCGTGCCTGTGTGCTTCTAGCAACAGCGCCCCCTCCTGGAGACACCCTAGCCTCCCCCTAACCTCAAATATGCCCAAATCCTTAATCCCAAAAGCCCCCGGGCGCTAAGAACACAACCCCTAAACCCCAAACCCTAAACCCCAAACCCTAAACCCTAAACCCTAAACCCCAAACCCTAAACCCTAAACCCTAAACCCTCTATACCCACAAATCCTCATCCCTCCCACCTGCAAAGCCTAAACCCTTAAAGCCTGCAGCCCGACTCGATGAGGACCGCACGCAGTTCGAGGCTGCAGAGAAGGAGCTGAGGTCTGGGATTTAGGGTTTAGGGTTGAGGGTTGAGGGTTGAGGGTTGAGGGTTGAGGGTTTTTAGGGTTGAGGGTTGAAAGTTGAGGGTGTTTAGGGTTGAGGGCAGTCCAGGCTTGTGTTGGGGGTGAAGGCGTTGAGGGGATAGTTTGTTTGATTGTTTCAATATGTCATTACTAATTGTCTTTATGTTTTTTCATTTTTATATTAGTAATAATTGTTATTATTGTTATTATTATTGTTAGTTTTTTGGGGGTAGGGCAAGAGCTTGTCAGGTTTAATGGTTTAGGCGTTTCTGCGCAGGAGTTCGTTGCGAGTGCAGCTAGACCCTGAACCCAAGAAAGTGAACCCCAAACCCTAAACCCTAAACCCTAAACCCTAACCCCTAAACCCCTAAACCCCTAAACCCCTAAACCCCTAAACCCCTAAACCCCTAAACCCCTAAACCCCTAAACCCCTAAACCCCAAACCCTAAACCCTAAACCCTAAACCCTGTTCAGAATTGAGGGTTGCTGTTCAAAGTTTGCCTTTCTCAAGTTTCGGGTTCCAGGTGAGGGTTTTGCGCCAGGCCCTGGCCGGCCAGGGTTTCGCCCAAAGCCCCATGGGTTTAGGGTTTAGGGTTTAGGGCTTGGGGCTTAGGGCTTAGGGCTGAGGGTACGGCATGCTATTTCTGGAAGGCGCGTCGGAGGCGAGAAGGATGTGATTGGCTGCTACAAGCAGGCTTCCAGCTGCTCAGAGTCCGGTCCTCTAGTTAGGGTTTAGGATTTAGGGTTTAGGGTTTGGGGTTTAGAATAGGGTTCTCAATGCAGAAGGTCTCAATGCAGGGGGGTATGTAACCCAAGGTCCCCTACTACTCCCTAAGGCTCCCTCAGCGGAAGGTTTGGGTGGTTTTGCCGACTGAGACGGTGTGGGGTGGGAGCAAGGTGTTAGGGTGGAGAGCGAGAGCGAGAGCGAGAGCGAGAGCGAGAGCGAGAGAGAGAGAGAGAGAGAGAGTTAGTTTTACCGCTACGACTTCGCAGTCAGTGTGATGCTGACACGTGTCACTGGCTGTAGATTCTTGGCCGAAGCTCTGTTATTTGCTTTGTTCCCTCGACCTCCTCCCAGTGCCATGCTTCCTTCCTTCGAGTCGATTCCCGTCATCGTGGCGTCGAAGGACTGCTGTTGGTCATTTGCGGCAGAGGCACGCTTAGTTAAGCTTAGATATTTCTAGAGCTGCAAGGTTCGTTCGGGCTTGGACGATTTTACGCCTGGCCGCATTCTGGAGGACGATATTGGCATCTGTCACTGAACTTATGTTGCAGACGGGATGACGAACTATCCGTGATTGTAAATTTGGAGCTATACTGACTTGATGCACATTGTTGTTTGGCAGGGTTGTCTGCTGTTAGGAGTTGTTTCCGCGCAACGAGAAGTACGTAGTTGTGCCGAAGGCCCAGGTGCGTGATGCAAACTGTACTTACCCTTCGACCACCGACCGGATCATCGTCCTGTACACTTCTCCAACAAACTTATATAAATGGTGCACATCGAAGTCATTTCGTTGCGCGGAGAGTGTATTGTTTGATGTCGTTGTGGGTGGAGGCACAGACGTATACAAGAAGTTTTTGAAGAAGGTTAAGCTTGGCTATTCGGTAGTCGCAGAGCCAACGCCCGGATTGGCTGCTGCCGACGCTTACATCGGTGCGGAGGACCGAAGAGTGGGCAATCGCACTGTTTTTTTTTTGGGGGGGGGGGCGTCAGTCTGAGAATATGAGGAGTTTGAGGATCTGGGCAACAAGCATGAGTGTCCATTCGTCATCAAGGCAGTGGACGACATCGTTGCTGTCAACCGTGCCTTTGTAAGCAGGCTCGTGTTGTGTTTCTGTTTTATTTGACAGTTAGGCGATGTGATGGACCAATGTATGGATCGTATTTGGGAGACGAAAATCCTGGTGAGACAACCTTCACGAAATGCGGTAGACGACACACAGCGTGCTGTTGAGGTCAGTGTAATTAGGGCCTCCTATTTTGGGGATTCAGGGGCATTTTGGGGAGATTTTGTTTTGTGCACTTCTCGTGATTTTTTTGCACTGTGGCATGGCATGATGTGGCTGCAGCCCTGTTATCTCAAGCCTCCTCACAGATCGACCAGCATGGCAATGGAGCTGATCCCTATGATTCGGAAGGTCACGAATGATCCGGACACCTGGGTGACCTTGGGGTACTGGCTGCCGACCCCATACACCACAATCGAACATGGGACCACCTTCCACTCCAACTACACACCATTCACAATACACAGCACCATAATGGGCACCTACCAACCACCCAACGACCCCTACCTGCACCTGTCAACAGCAGGCCAGCAGACAAGTCGCTTCCACAGGCAGCTGTGGATGGACTTGAATCCCCAGTTCCAGCCGAACCCCCAGCAGCACGTGCACCATCTGAATGGGGACACCACAGACAACAGGTCGATCAATCTGGAGGCCATGAGGGCCAGGGCCCACCTAGCCCTGCACGGT